GCTTGTGAGTTTGTGGTGCCCACAGGGTAGCAAAAGCAACAAGGGAAGCTTAACATCGTCTTTCTGCCCCTTTTATCTCATCCAGACTGCTGGGGATAGGGCGGTGCCAACCCAATCAATGTAGTGGTTCAGTAACCACTACATTTAATCCCGGCATCACACACTCTCCTTTCAGCCACCTCTGAAAAAGCCCTCTGAAAAGACCGCACGAGGCTCTGGGGGACATCTAGACACAAACCACTTAGTCACTTTTCTTGTCGCGCAGACAAATATTCGACACCCAGAACTTGAAGAGGAGGAGAGGTTTATTCTGGCTCAGGTTTCGGTCCATAGTCAGCTGGCTTCAAGACAGAACAGCTGGCAGAGGGACAGGGCAGAAGAGCTGCTCACAGTCATGGCGGGCATGAAGCCTAGAGAGAAGGGAGAGAAATAAACTGTCCAGGCCACATCCCCACTGGCCAGGCCACACCCCCAGTAACCAGGCCACGCCCTCGGCGACCCACTTCCAACCTAACCGGGCCCCTTAGCAAGCCAGCTACACTATCAGCCCCCATAATCCAGTTACGTCCGCAAGGCCCACCTCTGAGTGCATGAGGCTTTGGGGGACATCTAGATAGAAACCATAACACCCCCCCCACATAGCAGGCTTTCTGCATACCCCGGAGTGCTCCGTGCAAGGAAGGACGTGTCGGGCCGGGGATTTAGCTCAGTGATTTCGTCGCCTGCTGTGCAAGCGCAAGGACCTGAGTTCGATCCCCAGTACCCCCAAAAAAAGAAAGAAAGAAAGGACATGTCAGCCCTAAAGAATGAACTTCTCTCCGGCAGCAAGCCGGACTTTGGGTGGGTGGCTGGTTGGGTGTGCCTGGTTTTCGACACCCACACACTTCTCTTGGCTGTGTGGTCAGTTTTCAAATGAAGTCTGTTCTTCAGGTGTTACTTATGCTTTCCCTTGACTTTGTTTCCTGGTTCCTTTTTTTACTTCTGTCACCTGACGTCCCCCTCAGAAGCCTCCCACTAAGGGACAGACTACTTCCCAGGACAGGACTCTGAGGTCACCCCGCTTCATTGTCCATCAAACTAGCTCGTGGTTCGTGGCCACTGTGTCTGACACCAGCCTGGGGTGTGGCACCTGACTGCAGGAATTCAATGAGTGTGTGGCCCTCACAGGGGATAACACAGGAGTCCCCCAGACTGGATTCCTAAAATAACAGGCAGACTGGGCAGGGCCGGCACTGGGGCCAGACATGAGCAGCCAGGAACAATACCTAGGCCAAGAATGTGAACACCCTCAGGAGGGGACAGGAAACAGACTCTGACATTCTCCACACCTCCTGGGAGCCATCACTATTCCCCACCTGCTCCCTTTGGCTGACTCAGGAGGGGACCCAGTGGGGAGTAAGGGTAGGGGCCACAGGGAGAAGGAAAAGGACTCTGATGTCCTGGAGCACCAGAGACTCCTGGGGTGCTCAGCTGGCTCCTGATGGCAGGCTGACTACAGGTGGGGTTGGAAGAGGTGTCCTGGGCCAGGGCAGGGCACAGTAAAGATGGGCAAAGGTGGCCACAGGATCTTCTGTTTCTATCATGGGCAGGAAGGCCCCATCCTGCAGGCTTTGTCAGAGCCCAGGTAAGCGAGGCTACAGGTGCCTGCTGGCTGAGGGTCCCTTAGGACATTTAATCCCCCTGGCTATAGCTCCTGGGAGTTTCTCAGGGACCTCTGGGGATCAGAGAGCTCTGTCAGCCCTAGGACAAGAAAGGAGATGGCAATAGAGAACAGGGTGGCATGAGACTGGCACTACTGTACCCTTGGCTGGACTGGGGGGTTGCTAGTGGGATGCTGGGCACCACGGCCAGAAATACAGATTTTAAGGAGCCAGGATCCTCCTACCCCCCTGACTGATTATTTGTTTATTTATTTTGAGACAGGGTCTTGCTATGTAGTTTAGACTGATCTAGAAGTCACTATGTAGCCCAGGTTGACCTCAGACTCCAAGCAATCTTCCTGCCATACCCTCCCAATGCTGGGATTATAGGCATGTGCCACCACACCCAGCTACCTGCTGACTTTTTTCAAGGACTTTCAGGCCTTACCTGTGGGAATTCTGGGGCTTAGAAGGGCCATGAGTGAAATCAACATTGGGGGGCCCTGTTGGCAGTGTCCAGGGTGGCTGCTTCACTTCATTCCTCTGAAGCAAGGCCACTGCTGGACTGTCCCTAACTCCTGCCTGGTCTAGCACTAAATGGTGCAAGTGATGCACAGGCTGCCTGTGTCCCTGAGGGTGAGGGGCCTGGAAAGCTTTTGCCACCTCCAGCTGTGCCTCTGAAGTGTGAAGAGCACTGAGCTGTGGCCCTGGCCGGCTCGGCATCACTGTGCATACTCAGCCCTGGTTTCCATGGTGTGGCAGCTGCGGGTGGAGATGGGGATAAGTGTGGTCACTCTTGATGCCACGGCTGAGCTGATCCAGGGGCACCACACAGCTTAGCCAAGCAGGGAGCTGCACCCCTTCGAGAGGTGCCCAAGGCTGGGGCAGGGTGGTCAAGGGATGAGAGCACCCCTGGGAGGTGTCCATGGTGTACTGGCTACGGAAGCCGGATTCTGCTCCTTGCCATGGGGAGCCATGCCTCTCCAGCCTCACCTGGCTCCTGCATAACACAGGAGGCCTAGGGGAGAGAAGTCTGCACCCCTGTTCACCAGTGTCCCTCCTGCTGCATAGCCCCAGCCCCTGGCACCTGTAGGGGACAGGGGAAGGGGACGTTACCAGAACCTCTGCAATGAGTCCTGGTCTCCTGCGAGCCAC